CACTGCAGAGAGGATATGTGGCAGTAGGGAAAATAATGTGGTTCAGGGGCTATGAGACAGACTAAGCATACGCGTCGTAGAATGAATATCACACAATGATGAGGGGGTGCGATTTATATGGTCAAAATATCACAGCGCATTTTGTTAAAGTTTAAAATACGCTGTCACACAAGGGAACAAGTATTTTCCATATCTGTCAACAATAAACGGTTGTGGCTGTTAAAATTCATGTGGGTCCGTATAGGCGTGAATTGGGCATTATAGGCATTAATACAAAACGCTATGCTATTAGGGCATAGCAGAATCGCTTGCTCACTGAGCCGCCACTGAAGAGACATGTGACAGCCGTGATTTGATGAAATCACGTTATGTTTGTTAAAAGCACCAGCATCCAGCAGTCATTAAAACTCATCACCATTTTAAAGTATTTAATGCTGTCATTTGTATCAATTATGCGTGTACAAATTATGTTCAAGTAGGTGACAGTTGGTGCGGACCTGGGAAGGTTCATGTGTGTTTAGCTTCCTGTGTGTGTGACTTCCTGCGCTCGCCGGTTCAAGTTGACCAGAAATTGTTTTATTGCAGGTTAAAAGGTCAGACTGTAATCATGTGTACATGGTTGGTGATACTTTTCAGCGTGGTCACATACGGTCAGCTCTCCGCTGTTTAAAGGTCAGACTGTAATCATGAGTACATGGCATGGATAATTGTTCAATGTGAAGTTGAATGTATGCTGACAAGCGGTCAGCTTCTGTAGGGAGACAAGTGTCTTACAAAATACAGGAAATAGTGAGGACAATTTGAGAAAAATTTGATTGTACAGCGATGAAATGAATTAGCATTTGTAATATATATATCACTGAATAAGAACTATGTGTTCTCCTGTAAAACTTTTACTCAACATGTTAAAAACTTTACTCTCAAATTGCAAACATAAAAAAACCCATCTTATGTCCATGTTTATGACACTTATTTGACATCATGTGACACATAGGTGACTCACATGCCGTCAGTCGCCTCTTACGACAAGCATGGGTTACTGAAGGTAGTAGCAGACCTTCATGGGTACAATACATTAAGAAACAAGAGATATACAGATTTCATTGTTTATTAGCTCCGTTTCAAATGAGTAGACATTGGGATAGGAGCTCTCCCAAATGCCTAATTTACATCTGTTGTCTTATTACCCTTCCTCATCCACCTGTCCTTCACTCTCTTCATCAGATGTTATGTCTTCATCTTTGGTCTATGCCTTCGACCCAAGACTTATATTGGTACAATTTTGAAATAACTTCATGATACATATTATTTGTGTCTTTTACTTGTTTCAGTATTCCTTTGTGTCTTTGGACCATATTGCATATGGTACAGATAAGTAATAAATCGGGCATACGTCTCTTTAAACGTGCTCCACATCAATTTGTTCAGTTTGGCTTGAATCATGTCTTCGTTTAAACCTCTTTTTATGTACGGCTGTCGTTTCTCATCCAAAAAGTCTTTATTCAGCTCACGCATTACGTGAATACATTTGTCTTATACCTTGCTCTTCGAGATCAGCCATCTTATTTTTCCTGTTGCCATGTGTGACATCGCTTAATGATTCAACATCATCATCCTCATTTTCCATTTCAGGACATTGTTTTATCGTGTAAATGTCTTTGTAAAAAATTATGGTTAGTGCTAAACACTTGACCACAATAGTCACAATCTGACAGAGGGACGTGGTCTCTTTACAGGTGAAAGTTGTTGTCTTCCTCACACCGCCTTTTCACTTTGGGGTGTCCCATGAGGGGACCCACTGAAGACTTTTCGGGACACCAGTTTCTTCTGTGTTTTGCAAAATCTTGCACATCTTGAAACGCGAGTTCACAGTCATCACAAGATGGCATGGTTGAGAGGTTTTTCTTCACACGTCTGCTCACGCTGAACATCTAACTCAGGACTGAATGGTCCTGGCTTGGAGGTGTCCTTTTAAACTGAATGCGTTGGGACAAAGTCGCAAATGGGGAGGTGTTTGGGGTTTTAGATCAAGCCAACAAGTAGCCATAAGGCTTCTGGGTAGCCCTTTGAAACGGCTCCATGAAATGGTCTGTGTTACCTGGATACATCTGCCTCTGCCAAAGTCATGATGGGTTGTTGATCGATAGGGTTGTTGAACCGAAGCAGATAACAATGACAGTTTCTTCGTTGTGTGGGATCCTTACTGAAATACAAATTCTGGTTCAAGGCGATCACTGAGAGATTACGATGATGACTTCCTTCTGTAAACAGATCTGTAATGCGTGGGTCTTTGCTGGCAGTAGACATTGAAGTCATCGAGGGATAACCACGTTCACAAAACTGGGGTCCAGAAATGCATCCTTTTCGAGATCAGAAGGAATGCCTTGATGAAATTCCACATAGGGATAAACATGGGTTTGAATGGCATTATACACCAAGGGCTGCCATCGCTTTGTAGAGCATATAATACGTTCAGGATAAAGGTTTAATGTTCATGCGTTCTAGAATCTGTTTCACTAAGTACGTTTTCCGCAGGAGGTGGGCCCTGAGACAATCATGGTGAAGGGGTGTATCAGTCTACATTCTTCCAATGACTGCAGTAGTACTCTGGATGAATGTGGTTGCACTGGATTTGCACTCACAGGTGGTGGTGGTGGTGGTGGTGAGGTGGTGCTCGTGGTGGTGGTGGTGGTGGTGGTGGTGGTGGTGGCTGCATTGCTTGTCTGTGTTGATTCCTGAGATGTCTAAGCATCCCTTCTGGAAAAAGGCGCATATAGCACACGGGACACGTTGTTGACTGCATGGTGGTCCGAGTCTAAATGGCGGGGAACCATGTCTACTGACTGCTTTTTTATCTAAAAGTCGTCTTCCGTTTCTTCATGGGAAACTGGGAGGAACTTCCAACTTTATATTCCCCTTTCTTCTGCATCTGAATAAGAGCCTTGGCTTGTTCGACCACTTGTTGAGTAGGGGTAACAAAATTAATCTTAGGTTGTTCTGAGGTTTCTTTTTGGTTTATCTTTCTTCCACTCTGGGTCATACAGTTCCAAATATCGATCGACAGACATCATGGCAGATTTTTCCTCCACGCATTATAGAATGATAAGGATCTCCTTTCCCTTCAGCCCTGAGCATGTAAAATCGTGTCCATTTTTTCGGCATCCGGGTACGAAGAGTTTGTATTGTGGATTATTCATGAGTGAAAACGAGGGCGGCTTAAAGGTGATGCGTCAACTGTCACTGGTCCACGTCTAAATGAAGTTAGATAGCCCTTGTGGCCTGTTATATAGATATCTTCATTGACCTTGGGTTTGGTGTAGCTTTCAACATCGCTGCCAGGATGGTCATACATGCTCTTCCCCTGATTGACAAACCTAAACCAGGGTGTACCAAACGTACTAAGCCAATGCTCTTATCAAACAACCAGGCATTTTGAATGGCCTCATCTCCTAAGGGCATTGACAAACTGTGGTTTCAAAACAAATGCTACGATTGGCATGTTGATACGAACTATGATTTCTTTGATAGAAGTTATTACAGAAGAAATGCAATCAAAACTCAACCAAAAGGTGACACACATGGACAACAAAAACACAAGGACAGAGGAAAAAGCTTACTGGGGTGACGAATTACAAAATGCTTGGAACGATGTCTGTGAGAAAGAAAGGAAATGGATAAAAGTAAAAACAGCTGTGCAATTAAAATAAAACTCTAAGAGATGATTTCTGCCAAGCCCGAAAATATTTTGATAAACTTCATAGAAGGTATAAAAGAAATTTCCAAAAGAAAAACAGAAGCAACTAGAGTGATTCCTTGGTTTTCTTTTGGAAAAACATTGGTTAAATTAGGGTTTATTCAAAATGAAAGAAAAGATACTCATCCCCAGTGAAGTCATAGATGAACATGGCGATATTACTTCAGATCAAACCATTGTCATGGACAGATGGAAGAATGACTTTAGTAAATTACTTCACCCACAGTTACTATATTCTATGTAAGCGACCCCCAACTGACACAAACCTAATGAACATGAACAATTGTGTGAACCCACCAATGAAACGGTAAACAGATGAAGAACTAAACTAACCTATCTCAAAGCTTGAGGTTATCAAAGCTGTCCAGAGTATGAAATTAAAACAAAGCTCCAGGAATTGACCAGCTCCAAGTTGAAGTGTTAAAGAACACTAACAGTATAAATATTTTACATGGACTGTTCAACACTATGTTTAGGATCAGGCCTAGTTCCCAAAACATGGCAAAAGGGAATCATAACTCCCATCCCTAAGTCAGGAGAAGGGGATCCAAGAATCCCAGCCAGTTACAGGGGATAACACTACTCCTCAGTTCCATACAAGATATATGCTAAAATATTAAATACTAGATTAAGCAATTGGCTAGAACAACAAGACCTCCTTAATGATCTACAAAACGGATTTAGGAAGGGGTAGATCGCGGTCAAGACCATATACATTTCATTGACCAAGATTATGTACAACAGAAAAAGATATCAAAACTCTCGACATACTTATGCTTTATCGACATAAAGAAGGCCTTTTGACTCAGTTCAAAGACAGTTACTATGGTTAAAGATAACTATTCGCTTTCAAATACAAGGACAGTTTCTATCAGCAATACAATCCCTATATCAAGGACGTGAAATGCTGCGTTTAAAGTTAATACAGAAATGACTGACTGGTTTGATGTGAATATTGGAGTCAAACAAGGTTGCTGTTTATCCCCGACATTGTTCTCCATGTATATAGATGATCTTGCCAGTGAAATAAGCAAACTACAATGTGGGGTGGACATCGACCATATCAATGTGTCTCTACTACTATATCGCCGGCGACATTGTGTTAATAGCCCTGACAAAAAACAAGCTACAGAAACTCCTAGACTGCCTTTACTCCTGGACAGCAAAGTGGAAACTTACCATAAATAAAGATAAATCTAAGATTATGCATTGCAGACCAATCTCTACCCTATATCACTTCACAGATTCACTTGTGGTGATATGAATATTGATTATTGTTCTGAATATAAATACAAAAGTAGTATGTTTGTTCAAGCCTATCATCACCTTGATTATTTTCCTTGATAATGACAAGGTAGAAGACACCCTCTGGTGACAAGATCGATGAAACCAAGGGAAATAACCTGTCCACGACCTCTCGGCCTCTGATACCTCCTGCCCATGATGCCTCAATGTCTGTGCTCCCCACCTATGTACAGGAACAGTGATGATAGAGATAAATTCAGAACTCTGAAACAGGATACTTCTCTGCCTTCCCAGTGAACCTCAACAAACTTTGACTGACTGTCCACTCCAAAGTAAGTGCTGGTTCTTTAACCAATCAGATGTCAGCTTTCAAAACAAATCATTTTTGGGTTGGTCTTTACTGCTTCGCTGGCTATTTTGATCTTTGCATTAGATAAACTGACCAGATATGTTCTTGCAATAGAATAAAGATATAGATGCTCAGAAATGTCACTGCACAGACATGGTATTTGGAGCAAAATATCTGTTTGTATTTCCATTGGAGAAACACTATTAAAATCGAGAAAAATTACAGTAGGTCAGTCAAGTTTGGAAACATTTATCACAAATAGTGCACAGCAATGTCAGGCAAGAATAGTTAAAACAATATTATAGTTAGAATGCATAGAATTGTCATTAGAACGCCCGCATGTTAACAGAAATGAGCGCGCCTCTGCAATTTGATAATGCCCCAAAATTGCTTGACGACAGGCCATTATCATGCCCGTTGTTAGGGGATGTCATAAGGAGCTCAGCTCTTGATGTTCAATCACCTACGGCTCGTTTGAACTTGGGTTTAATATTGACGATATTTCTGACTCACATTCGTCACATGTACCTGTGCCATTATGCACTTTCTTACCGGTGCCAACCTTAACAATTGTACCATACATTACAGCATGCAGCAATGAAAACATCGACTGGAACTCTAACCTTGTTGAGCATTGAAAAATTAGCGCTGGTAGCATAGCAAGGTCAAGGGTCGAATGTCGTCAGTCTCAATAGTTTGCTTGTCATATGGAGAGTTGACAGCAACACCCTACCCTCTTTACAGAGAGTCAGTACCCTACGGAGAGTTGACAGCAACACCCTACCTACCTCCTGACTAGGCTGACTACGTGATGGTGGGTTGAAGAGCAACACATCAATGCAACCTGAGAGGCGAGATGATAGACAGTTCACCTGTAAGAATAGTAGACTCTTCACAATATTTAGTGAAATATTTCGCAAGAAAATGACAATGCCACTACTTTTAAATTATGTTTTGGGTATCTTGGGGTTTCAATGCCAAGAATAATCAATGACTTCCTAAATAAAATATTTATAAAACCAATATGCATTTTAAATCCAGCCAAAGTCCATGTTTATTCTAAGGCTGTCAAGCCAATATTCCAGCTCTGGTAAGTAAATGGTATCTTAATAATCATGTCCCATAACCACCAGAGTGCATGTTTGTTTCAAGAACAGAGTGCTAAATGCACAAATAATCTTCCCAATATTATTAAAGTAAGCTTCTACTCTTTTCATGTCCCTACTCTGTTAAGATCCAACACATGTGGTTCCCTGTATTTGATGGACCACCACAACATACCAGATCTGTGACGACAGGCTCCCACGCTGTGACCGAGTTCCTGGTGGCTGTGTCCCTAGAAGTGATGCAAGCTGCCTTCACATTGATATCTGTGCTCCTACAGCAGCAAGACACCATTCAGTCTAAGGGGAGGTAACCCATGTTAATATGTTCCTGAACACACCGAAGCTATGATAAAATTATGTTATGTTCAGTGATTTATGGCATATTGGTTGATCTGGGATATTGAAAGTCATTCTTGAAATGTTAGGCCTTGGTGAAAAGCCCACCCCTCAAAATATAAATACTGATAAATACTGAAACCATAAATTCTGTTTGAGGCAGCATATTCTGTTGAGCCTGAGGAGCATAGTTGATTGTGTGTTGCTCTACACTGATGGCATGGATTGTTGATCATAATATCAATCACTACATTATTTACATCTGTAATACACTGAGCATGGTCCTATACAACAAACAATAGGACAATTAAAGTTTCCATTCTGAATGTATACTTTCTTGATGCTTGAGTGCTCTAAGGTTCTTATTGTTTCCTGCCTCCTATCATCTATTACACAGCACAGGTTTTCATTGCAAATCCGGTAAATTGACTGGATGGTAATTTTTGAAATTGTTTGCATTTAAAATGACAACAAAATGGACAAATATACTGGATATGATATCATAACTGGAGTGAGTGAGTTTCAACTAACGCTGCTTTTGCAATATTCCAGCAATATCATGGCAGGGGACAGCAGAAATGGGCTTCTATATATTGTACCCATGTGGGGAATCGAACCAAGGTTCTTGGCGTGACGAGTGAACGCTTTAACCACTAGGCTACCCCACAGCCCCCATAACTGAGTGAGGGAGGGCGGAAGGATTTATGCTGCTTATGCCAGCAATATCACTCCGGAGGACAGATCTGGGATCCCAAGCCAACAGAGGAAGATTAGTATCTAAACAGATGCAAGTTAAAGGAGCCTCCCGGCCATGTTGACCACTGGGCCTTTGTACACTGTGAATGAAGGCAGCTGTAGACTCTCACATATACACACTAGTGGGTCCCAGCATCCTGGCAAGGAAGGTGATGCAGACTCCAGATCCAGAACCAAATCTCCAGGCACACTGTTGGTCTAAAATCTCAATAACTTGAAATCTCCAGTGCACACTGTTGGTCTAAAATCTCAATAACGTGAAATCTCCAGTGCTACCACAATTGTTGGCCTGAAATCTTCAATAACCTGAAATACATTCTGTTTCAAAATACAGATTTCCACCCTTAAAACAATCCAGTGTGGTAAAATGCATTAATATTAATACCATTTCTGGCTGAATTCATATCAACAAATTAAACTGGATAAAAACAATATGTACACAGCTCGATTGCTATTTCTCGATTAGTTGAATAACAGGCAGCATAACAGGAACAACAATGCTGAATTATCACGCCTTAGGGTGATGCTCTGATTGCAACTCTTCCTATTATCATTTTTACATAAAGTTTGTTTGGTTTGTTCAATCCGATGATACGTATGGTTTTGAGTGGGCATTGAATGTACCACATGGCAGCTTAAGCAAGCAGTCCGCTGAAAATACGATTTTATTTGGCCCTATGCCACAAGCGCGTATGTAACATGGTGCCCTCTTATAACGCTGGGGTCATCCATGGACCCCAAGACTTGTAAGTTATGGCTAAGGATGATCAGTATATGGTTTTAGCATGTGGAAACATATTAGGTCTTGTCTGTGACAAAATATGCTTACACACATATTTGGCTAACTCCTTCCCACAGAGGGGATCCATTGACAGATGCTGATATGTTACCACATGTATTTTAGAAATCAGTTTTGAATATACATTTGAGGAAAATAATTAACTGTCTCCACTACATAGCCGAGATTGTACGGTTAATACCATGTCTCTTTGGTGCATGAACTATGAGCTCAGGGTGACTGGTTTAATTACACTTCATCACAGACTGAACTGGCTCCTGCTACTGCAGTTTAGGGACTCCGCGTAATCTTGATAGTAAATTATAATAGCAATAAAATTACAACAGACATAAACAAGGCTCAGGATTAATTATACTCAGCTGTGGTTTCAGTAATTCAGCTTAGTAAGGAAGCCATGTTCTTGCCCAGGGCATCAAGGAACAGGAATGAATCTTCTGCAGGCTCGTAGACATGATTGTAATCTGAGCTGCCCAAGCGACTCCAAGTCTGGGTGGAAAACATGCCAGACATGTTGGAAACAAGAACATGGAATGAGTCATGCTCTTTGAATGACTACAAGATATTCTGATATACAATTGGAAGAATTATTACTCATTGAAATGTTTCAGTGAGACTAAATCTAAAGCAAAAGTAAACAAAGACCAAAATAATTCTGTGAAAGAGAAAATCGTCTTCGAAATTTTAACGGGACGGCACAAAGAGTCCATAAAACAATTGTTGTCAATCAATTTTAAAGTAATAAACGTAATGTATATTAATTATGGGACGGGGCAAATGACTGTGATAAGGACGCATTTTAAATGTCAGGAACATCCTTACAGCAACACTTTCTAGTAGATTACGAATAGAAATTGTAATGGCAGCGGCTTAATGATTAAATAACGTCGTTACTGTCAAATCGCCACTACACCCAGCAGGAACGACAATAAAGCGACGCAAATGTGTTTTAGAATGCGCAGTGATCTGGACTCCTGGACGCCCCGAGCACTGGCGCAATAAGTGATAAAATATTGGTGTAATGGACGGTAGTAGGATTATATGACTGCCTTTGTGGTTTATCTTAAAGAACTCGACTCTGAGACACAACTCTCATCGGTCGATGAAGCGGTATCATCTCAAACACGTTTTACCTTCTACGTCAGTAAGCATGTGTAATTCAATCACTGGAATCCGCAAATTGAATCTGACACCACACGTCCACTGGCACTCACATGTCGCTTTTGTTCTATGGGCGAGATTAGGAGTTATCTGCCGCACGCAACGTATGACGTTAAAGCTGGTAGCGTATATATGTTGCGAAAAGCACTTTCCCACAGTCACTGCATGGGGCACAAAGTGGATGGAAACAAAGCTGGTCACCTCGGTGAGTCAACCTCAAACTATTTTCCACATTTACAATCATTTGTCATTCCGCCAGGATATAAATAAGGATGAACAATTTTATCCCGTATCTTATAACTGAAAAAGAAACGGCCTCAAAGTTCGAAGTGGATGAAAACATCTCGTCAAGGAGATATCTGTATGTGTCTTACAAAGAGAATCTATCCTGCTTCTTTTTGCCATCATAAGGAACTTAATATTACATTGATATCTTGTCGGTTTTGCAGATCTTCACGAAAATTAAAGTATCTTTGGATATAGATACCCATGAAATAACTGGTCAATTACTCTAGAGACCTAAATTGTGAGTGAATGTAAGACTCTCTCTGCCATGAACTAGAATCTGAAAAGAATTATTCCTCTTTACTCAGCGCCAAGATTGATGTCATATCAAAGCATACCAGCAATTAAAGTGTACGGAAATTTTACCGCATGGGGAATCTGGTCCGAGAGTCATCACAGGTAATTTTGCATTACAACAGATTATAGCTCTTCAGTGAAATAGACTGAAATAGTGAAATGTCGTGACAAACTGAGACTGTGTTTGCATATGAATGTTAAAAAGAAAAGCAGGCATCAAAACTATTAAATAAAGACATATCTAACTACGCATGTTCTCTGTTACAAAGTGTACCAAGTCGTCAGTATATACGGTAAGTACGAGTTGGCGAGATGTATATGCTGAATACACAATGTAAAATTTTAGAAAGTGGTCAAATGGGGAAAAGCGTCTAGCCACCGCGACTTGCATTTCAGATAGGATGTCGGACAACTGGTGGAGTCAGGACCGCGGACTTTGTATACCCCTCTGATAAAGTGTAGAATTGGCCTCGGCTCCCACGCCCGAAAGCTATAAATACAATAAATGTCATTTAGGAAAGTGGTTAAATGTAACATGTTATATTTGGGATTACACTTTCAGCTTGCGGTGGCTGAGCGGGTAAGGCGTCTGACTTTGTGTGCTGGCGATTAGTGTCTGGTTTGGGTTCGAACTCCTGATGGTACTCAACCCAACAAAAGTAATAGCATCTGTACTATACTGAGAAAATGTAATCCCAAATATAACATCATGTTATAAGAATATGTATAGTTTTCTTCATATTTTCATACTCGGGTATACATATAACATATGTTATATACTCATGCCAATAATGGTTGTCACCCCCTTCAATTTTTTTTTATTGGAGAGGGGGTGGGGGCTGGGGACGGGGGTGACAACCATTATTGGCATGAGTATATATGTTATAAATCAGGCACCTAATCTCCAGCACACAAAGTCAGACGCCTACCCGCCCAGCCACCGCGGCATCGGGTATACATAGTGGGCACAATGGGATTGATGGTTTTTTAAAACATCATACTTATTCATAGTAATATTCATTTTATTTTAATAGAATGACGTCAATACTTTAATAATACCTAAGCCAGCAAATTTAACAGATACAGACTGGTCAT